GTAGGCCCTTTTTTGAAGTTGTAAAAAGTAATTAAAAAGTTTTTAAGCAGCGGCAGCTGTCCGCGGCACCGCACTCTAAATGCAAATGAACTGTGAGCCATTCAATAGTAGCGGAGCCTTCGTTGAAAAATGCGGCGGCGCGTTTCGGCGTATTGCGTGAGTTTGTGTGAGTTTGTGTGTTGTGTGTGAGTTTACGTGCGTTTTGCTGTGAGTTATGTGTGTTGTCCGTGCTGAGCTCTTGTGTGGTTTGTGTGAGTTACTGGTTGTGTCTGTGTGTCGAGTTTTACGTGCTGCTTTCTGTGCGCTTACTCACCGGATGTTAGCCTCGAGAGCCTGCCGCTCTCGCAGTTAGAGTTAGCCACCGCTACCGACCCACTGTTTCCCCCACCACGCGGGGTGGTGCGTTGTGCCGTGTGTGATGTGTGCTGTGTGCTGTTGTGAGGTCTTGTTGTGTGTGTGTTGTGGTGCTGTGGTGTGCTGGCTGTGTGTGTGTGATGTGGTGTCGTGTGTGTCGTGCGTGCTGCGTGAACTAACGTGGTGCCTGGTCGCTGACGTGCGTGCGTGCACGTGTGTGTATGTACACATGCTATGTATGATACACATGAATATGTATGTACACATGTATGTACAATGTATGTATGCATAGTTTAGCCGCCTATAGCTACTTCGCTTCCGTTTGCCTCGCCCACAACCTCCCCTCCCGTATTTTCCGCCGGCCCCGTCATCAGCGTTGCAAACGTCATTGTTGATTCACTCCCACTCCCTCCCGAATCCCTCTACCCTTCTCTTCCCCTCCTCCTCCTCCTTCTCCCTTTAAACAGCAGTCGGTTGCCCTGCAGTGTGCCAGTGTCCGCGCTGGCATAAGGAGCGAGCGGCTTAATATACACGCGGAGACTAACGACGTCTATCGTGTACGCAGTGATGCTGTTTACTGCTAACGAGGCAGAGAGGAGAGAGAGATGAGGATGAGAGAGATGAGAGAGAAAGAACCTCACCCCGAGAGCCGACTGACGACAGTGCAGAGAGAGAGATATGGATTCCCGAGACCGGAACCCAGAGTGAGTCAACCCACCCATGCATGACCGAAGCGAGGAGGTATACCGTACGACGAGTCTTGTCTGACACTCACCTCATGATGAGCACCCGACGGCCGAGAGAGTTCTCGCACCTGCGGCCGACGGTAGGCATTATTGTTGAGAGACGGCAGAGAAACAAACATAAAGGAGCAGAGATGAGGGATTGAGATGGGGAGAGAAAAAGGTTGAGAGAAGATGAGAGAAAGGAGGAGAGAGGAGAGAGAGAGAATCTAGAGGGGGTAGAATTTACGACGACGATCAGAAGCCGACGACGAGTCCATCCCCCACGAGGCCAGAACTCTGCCATGAGCTCTATGAGAGTACGTCCCCCCAGCGCCTTTCCCGAGGTCCCGCTCCCCGACCGCCCCTGTCCACCTGCGCCCCTCTCTGTAGACGACCTACCAGCGGAGAGACCGCCCCCCCCCACCCCGACCCCTCCCTGACACGGATGAGGAGGGAAAGGTAAGAGAAAGATGCGATTGTGAGAGTGAGAGAGTAGAGACGATGATTATGTTTTTACCCATTCAAGATATGAGTAGTTGTTTTTGAGTTCTAATGTATTGTGAGGAGTACGATTGGAGTTTCGTTGAGAGAGATAAGTGATGTGATGATGAGTATGAGAATGATGAGAGAGGAGAGAGATGAAGGAGAGAGGAGAGAGAGAGGAGAGAGGGACATTGGAGAATAATGAAGGCGAGAGGAGAGAGGAGAAGAAGAGGGGGAGAGAAAAAGGTGAGCAGAGAGAGAGATGATGGGAAAGTAAAAAGAGAGCGATGCGTATTGAGAGAAATGGAGAGATGAGAGATTTTAGCTGATGAAGAGAGACGGAGAGAAGATATTGCGTGATGTGAGAGAGAGAGATGAGATGAGAGAGCTGAAGAGAGAGAGAGAAAGGAGAGAGAGAGAGGAATGATGAGCATAGATGAGATGAGAGTGAGATGATGTGAGAGAGGGGCAGAGCGGATGAGATAATAAAGCGAGAAGGAAGAGAGTGAGATGAGAGAGGGTGAGAGAAAAAGGGATGCGATGAGGAGAGAGTGGAAAGAAAAAGGTTATGTTCGAGCTGATGAGAGTAGATGATTGGAGATGAGAGGCACTGAGAATGAGAGCGAGAGAGAAAGAGCTGATTGTGATGAGTGAGAGAGAGAGAGAGAGAGAGAGCGAGATGAGAAGGCGAGAGAGCAGAGATGAAGAGTGAGGAAGGAGACTGATGGAGAGATACTGAAGGAAACACGCCTAACGCACCATCTATACCCGCCACGACCAACTCTTATTTGAAACTCCGACTATTAAATTATACTCCTAATACACCACAGTTCTGATTCAACTGTCGCTATGACGATATTTCACACGCGATCACGCACTATTGCTATCATCTCTCCGATAAGCCTTGAGCGCTTAAGGCGACTGGCCAGCATCACATGCTTCGCATCCTCTCTCCCCGCTCATCCTCGCAGTCTCGTCTCATTATATCTACGGCAAATACATCCCGCCCACCCCCCACCCCGTGACCTGGTTGCGTGTTTTCGTGACGTCTACATCGCGTTGGTACATATAATTTTTTCTTGCGAACAACTTATAACATGGAAAAGCTGATGTATTTCAGCGCGCAGTGCTAAGTTTATCTCGTATCCTCTCTTACCCTCTCCCTTCCTCTCGCTTCCCCCTCCTCGCCTCTTTCGCTCTTCAGTCCTCCCTCCCTCTTACTCCCCCCCGCTACATCGCCCTTCGCTTTCCCTTCCCTTCCCCTTTCTACTCCGTCCTTCGCTTTCCCTCTCCCTCTCCCTCCTTCTACTCCGCTCCTTCGCTTTCCCTTCTCCCTCTCCCCCTCTTACTCGCTACCTTCGCTTTCCCTCCCCCTTTTCCCTTCTAACTTCCGCCTCCTTCGTCTCCCCTTCTCCCTCTCCCCCTCTACTACCGTCCTCCGTTTCCCTCCCCCTTTCACCCTCTACATCCGTCCTCCTGCTCTCCTCCCTCTCCCCCTCTCCCTTCCCCGCTCCCCCCGCCTCTCCGCTCTCAGCTCCTCCGGCGGACTTGCTGCGAACGCAAACGTGAGAAAGCGCCACCTACGCCGTGGGTGAGGCTGAGGATCGCCACTTTGTTAGTTAATGGAGGGGAAAGAAGGAAGGAGGTGGGTGCGGTGAGAGGGGAAGGTATGTGGCAAAGGAAGTGAGGGAAGATGTGTGGAGCAGGCGATAGCTATCTGTAGTTACATGAAAATACGGAAAGATTTGATATATTATCATGTGGAGAGATTTTCGGACAGTCGAGACGTTCCATGATTGGATCAACCTAATATTTCTAACCTTATAATAACCTTATACCTTGCTACTCTTCTCGTTCATATGTTTATCGCCCACACTAACTCTCTCACCATGCATCTGTTCGTATCTCAGTGCTGTACCAGCTACTGACTAGCCCTATCCTCTCCTGTTCCAACTGCTATCTACAACATAGTGAATTAATCGAGAGCGACGTATGAACGCCCTTCAGATAACTTGAGGCTAACACTTACGCCACAGCCATTAATTTAGCCTGAGCGACGCTTATTCCGTATTTAATTGCCTCCTTCATTACCCACTGTCCCGACTAATTAATCTGCTCTTCTCACTCCCTCTTACCCCTCGACCTCCCCTACGCCTCCTCGCCTTCCCTCGCCTCCCTCTTACCTCTCCCATTCACCTTCCTCCTATATTCTTTTCACCTCCTCTTGGCCTTCTCTCACTATACGAATATACAATATACATTAACCATAATAACATATACATATAACATATACAGTATACATATACATATACATTAATACATATCACTATACAGTCATATACATATACATATACATATACATATACATATACATATACATATACATATACATATACATATACATATACATATACATATACATATACATATACATGTACATTACCTCCCACCCAATCAGTTCCTTATCCGCCCACAGCTCTCCCTCACCTCCTCCCTCTCCCCCTTTACCTGTCTCTTGCCTCCTCCCTCACCCTTCTCTTTACCTTTCTCCTTACCTCCCCTTACCGCCCCTTACTTCCCCGCGTGACCTTTCCCAGAGGTTTGAGCGTGCTAGCTCAAATTCAAATTCAAATTCAAAGTTCAAATAAAGTTTATTGCACGGATAATCGCTGATCATACAGGCAAATACAAACTACAATAAAAAGTTCCTAGACTAATAAAAACAAGAGAGTGTGTGAGAGAGCTAGTGTGTGACCACTCGTTCACACCGAATCGTCAGCACGTTGTATGCGGTACGTAGGCTTACGCAAATACTAGCTGTGGCGGCCTGGCTGGATTGCACCAGCCACCAGGTACCTAGCTGCTTGCTACTGAGCGTGAAGCGAAGGTGCGGCCGTTGTTCCGACAACAACGTACGTTGATTGTTGTTTTCCCGCGTTTTGTTTAGTTTACGACGTTCGAAAGTGCGGTGACGTTTCGCGCGTGACGTCACGGCATTCGCGACGCCATTTTCCCGGCGTTTGTGACGTCGGCCGGGCTTGCGTACGCTGGTGGTCCATAATTATACTCTCCCACGCTCGCCTTGTCCGTGCTTATAGGCCGTACGCAGTGGTTCTCCTAGGATAAATGCGGATGAAAACCGACAATTGCAGCTAGTTTGAGAAAGAAAGCTAACTGGGGTTTTGAGGTATTCACGCGTTTGTTTGTTTCCCGCCGATCTATAAACACTTGAAAAAACCGTTTAAAATCATTTTGCAACCGTGTCTTTATTAAAGTAAGAAAGAAAAACTGTTTTTAGAGCACGGAAAAAAATGTTAATTTATTATTTTGTAGCCGCGTACGACCGTCAGTGAATGCCGCGGCAACGTTTGTACTATTTTTTACGTTTGTATATTTTGTGCTATATGTCTAGTATAGTCGTGTCTGTTTTTCTTGCAGAAGTTTGGACGGGCTGCACGCATCGTTGCAGTCGGGTAGTCCCTCGAGTCAGCCCGACCATACAGGGGGCAGCAGCAGTCATAGTTCACCTCGTAACCACGGCGACACGACGACAGTACAACTTTGCAACTTGACCGCCAATGGCACTGATAGTAAGTCATTAGTCATAGCTGTGTAATTATCTATTAGTTAATTAGCAATTAACTACACGCTGACCGATTGTAATCCATTATGTGTGCGGCGCACTTTTCCTTCCTTCGATTCGTTTTCACTTCGTTATATAATATTATAACCTTAAGATATTAGATAATAGAAAATAAGATATAGAATATAAGATATTATCTTGGTTATGTTATTTATTTTTCTTTCGGTCGCACTTTTCCTTCCACTCTTCCGAGTCCTATACTCACCGATTACGTTAACTCTGGATAAATAAATTTCCTAAATTAATAAGCGTCGTTGTCATTCTCCTCCGCTCCTCCGGCGGGACTTGTGCGAACGCAAACGTGAGAAGCGCACCTACGCCGTGGGAGAGGGCTGAGGGATCGCACCTTGTTGTTAATGGAGGGGAAAAGAAAGGAAGAAGGTGGGTGCGGTGAGAGGGGAAGGTATGTGGCAAAGGAAGGAGGGGAAGGTGTGTGGGAGAGGCCGATAGCTACTGTAAATACTGAAAATACGGAAGGATTTGTATATTATATGTGGATGAGATTTTCGGACAGAGCGTTCATGATTGGATCACCTAATATTTCTAACCTATAATACTATACCTTGCTATCTTCTCGTTCATATGTTTATCGCCCCACACTAACTCTCTCACCATGCATCTGTTCGTATCTCAGTGCTGTACAAGCTACTGACTACGCCCCTATCCTCTCCTGTTCCACTGCTATTACATACATAGTGAATTAATCCGAGAGCGCGTATGACGCCCTTCAGATAACCTTGAGGCTAACACTTACCGCCACAGCATTAATTAGCTGAGCGACGCTTATTCCGTATTTAATTGCTCCTTATTACCCACTCCCTACTAATTATCTGTCTCTCACCTCCCTCTTACCCCCTCGCCTCCCCCTCGCCTCCCTCTTTATCTCCTCTCTCATCTCCATCCTCATATTCACCTCCCTCTTGCCTCTCTCACCTATAGATATACATATACATGTACATATACATATACATATACATATACATATACATATACATATACATATACATATACATGTACATGTACATGTACATATAAATATACATATACATATAAATATACATATACAT